TTTTTTTTTTTTTTTTCATTCTAGTTCCGACGATAACTATACTTATACTGACTAGAAATTTGTCATTTTTTTTTATTTTAGATCAAAAGGAGAGGTCAATCAACACGCGCCAGTCAGGTCCATTTTTTTTTATAGAGGGAGACTTCAGCGCCATTTTTCTAATTTAAGAAAGTTATTGTTTTTGTTTTGATTTCCATTTTCGTGTAGTTGATAAGTAATAGAATAAGTGTAATAAAAATTTGAAAGCATTCGTCATTATTTTCTTAAAGAAATAAACTTTTTACAATAACTTAAATTTTAGGCTGCTAAACCACCGGGTCCCTTTAAGAAAATTTTACTTGATTCAAGAATTTTTTGTCTTGATTCAAGATAATTGCCCTTTTCAAAATTATATTCTTGATTTACGAATTTTTCTCTTGAATAGAGTTAATTGTTTTACAGTGCAGGGATGGCCTTTATTTAGGGTCAACCGTTTTTCTAATTTTTTTAACTTCCCGCTAAGAAAATCGAAGATATTCAAAAATAGGGAAGTTATTGTTTTCACCCTGTTTTACGAAAATCGAGTTTTCATCGAACCTCGATGTTTCGGGGTCCTAGGAAGCTTCCCTGACTATTTCCGCGATGGTGTCTGTCTGTCTGTATGTATGTATGTGTCTGCGCGTGTGTGTGTGTGTGTGTGTGTGTGTAAACCTCTTATAACTTTTGCACGGCTCGACCGATCGGATCGAGATAGGTGGCGATCTCAAGAGTATCATTACCATTAAATTTCGTGAAAATTCGAATTGATTCGGTTCGCTAGATTTTGAGAAATCTCAAAAATAAAATTTTCAAAAAATGGTTTTTTTGAAATAACTTCTAAACGGCTTCGCCAATCAATTCCAAAAACTAATCCGCTCTTAAACTTAAAAAATCACGTCGATTGCCACCAATCCCGTCAAAATCGGTTGATTCATTAGGGATGCGAGTTAGCGAAAACGAAAAATTTCGAAAAAAAGTATTTTTTTTACATAACTTCGACATTTCTTTTTGAATCGTTTTTTTATTAAATAAAAAAATTATTAGAGCCCGAAAAACCACGTCGATCTCCGCCAAGGTCGGTTAAATCGGTTGATTGGCTCGTGAGTTATCGTAGTCAAAAAAGTTCGGAAAAAGTGAATTTTAGAAATTTCTCTAAAATTTTCGGTTTGATGAGTTTGTGTTCAAAAGTGTATCATAGAATTTAAAAAACTGCGTGGAATGCTGCTAACCGCGGAGAAAATCGGTTCATTCATTTAGAAGTTATTGCATTTTGAAAATTCAAAAAATACTGTTTTATTAAACCTCTATGAGACTTTTGAGCTCGAAGAGCTCAAAAGCTTAGAATAATAGCTAACTCTTTGAGCTCGGAGAGCTCGAAATAACATAAATTATATTTTTGAGCTCGAAGAGCTCAAAAACGTCATAAGTGCAATTTTAAGCGCTTAGATATGGAATTAGCGAGAAGTTGCAGGGATGGCCTCTAGGGTCAACCGTTTCCCAAATTTTTTTTCTGAGAATTTTAGTGAAGAGCTTAAAAGCGTCGTAATAGTTGCAATTTGAAGCTCTTTGCATTTGAAATTAACGAGAAGCTGCAGGGATGGACAAAGTCGAAACAAGAAACTGAAGCGTACGAAAAATGATTATGCTGTACATTATTTATTTATATTATAAAATGAAGAATTCTTGATGACCCCCACTTTCAGACTTTTTATTGATGCTACAACTTTTAATAAAGTATTCTCTTACATTTATAATGATAATATATTGAATATAGATTGAAAATCCATATAATGTATCAGTAATCCATATAATATCAATTATTGTAGTTACATAAACAAAATTCCATATTGTGCTTTTTCAATTTTTAACAATACTAATATAATGTTAATCAATTTAAATCTCATTTTCAATGTTATCAATTGTAATTTCTTTTGCAATCGTATCAATATTAGGTTGCATTATAATTTCTTAAATAACATGACTATAAAAACGAAAAAATGTTTTTTCTTCGTCCAAGATTATTTTTTCAAAAAGTTCTATTAGTTAGAATCAATTTTTTTCACGTCAATGGTTAAATGGACATTTCCTTGAAAATATATAATATAGTCAATATAGCTTTCTAAGACCTCAGACCTTGACATATGTGAAAAACTAGATTTTTCAAAATCGAAGTAAAAAGAAAAACTTCCCAAATTTTATAAGATTTCAAATTTTTTCAATAAAAACAATTGAATAAAAAACATTCTACAAATCGATAACAGAGTACCTATAAATTTTAAATTTATAATAGACTATAAATTGAAAAATTTTCATCAAATCATTGTAATTTTAATTTTAATGAAAATTAGCAAATTTCTCTCAGTTATCAAATTATTTTATTTATGTAATTACGATTTTAGTATTGAGGATAAAACCATCTTTTAATCAGCAAATCCATAAAAATATGGAGTCATTCGTCCGGGGAATCCAACGAGTGGGATTAATTTTGAAAAATGGATCAAAGGTTACGAATTCAACTGCAAGAAAATATGCATCGACTTTAATAAAATGTAAGATGATTGAAGGTAATAATGGTGAGCAGATTTTTTCATCAAGTTATGAAGATGTTGAGATACCTTCATTAACTATTCCTGAATATTTATGGCAGAAGTTGGAAAAATGGCCAAAAAGAATTGCTGTTGTACGTATATAAATTTTAGTTTAAGTCTATCTACTCATTTTACTCAAAATAACTAAACGCACTTGTTCATTAAAATGTTTTTCGTTTAGGAATGCGGAATAACAGGAAGGAAATACACATATGCAGAAGCAAGAGACAGTGCTAATTATATTGCAAGAAGTCTAATAAATATGGGCTTAAAAAATGGTGATATAGTAGCATTAATATTACCAAACTTACCAGAAAGTCCGATTTCATTCCTCGGTATCTTAGAAGCTGGACTAGTTTGTACAACTGTCAATCCTCTGTACACTGTCGGTAAGTTTTAGACATTTTTTAATTATACCTGTTAGAAAATGGATTAAATGTTTATAGTTATATTGAACAATTATTATAATAAATTATTATTATTATTATTATTATTATTATTATTATTATTATTTTATTAAATGCTCAGGGGGGTTGTCCCCGGAGTCCGACTCTCCGAGGGCCCAGCCTGAGCTCCATCCATTACTGCTGGACCACTCCGCACAACAAGGCGGTTAGTGATCACAGCAGGCCAAAGTCATTTTCCTAAGTAGACAGAAGGAAAATAGATTTTGCAACTGTCATTCTCAACAACCTAGGGAATATCTCCTGGCCGATAAGGCAGCACTGGTGTCACGTCGATACCGTAGCAATGACGAAGATAATAGTACAGTACTGTCAGGGCAGCATTATGACGCTGGATTTATGCACCTCTCGCCAGCACAGGGCATGCTGATAAAAGGTGCATAAGCGTCTCCGGATGTTGTTTATACGCCCTGCAGGACGTGTCCGGAAGCTGCACCTGAAGCACTTTGCTACGGTACTCTAGAGTGTTAATGACACCATCTTGGCAGGCAAGTATGAACCCTTCAGTCTCGGACATCAGGCCTGCTGACTTTAAGAAGGAAAACGTCAGCTGGGTGGATAAGCCATGATCACGCACGTGTTTGAAGAATACGCTGTGCATGGACTTGTCCATTAGTTCGCTAAGGAGTAGTTTTTCCTCGGCGTTCCTGATGATGCTCTTGAATTCCTCCTTTCGAAGTTCTATAAGAGCGTTTATTTCTCCAAGACCGAGGGTTCTTGCCGCATATATTGCTGACTTCTACAAGAACGACCCTTTATGCGCATTTTCATTTTTATGTACAATTTGCATAAGAAAGTCATTCTTGTCTGCAGTGAAATTGACAACCTCGAATGTTAAACCCAGGCCCAAACGATCGTGAAGCCTCTCCAAGCTTTGCAAACCTCTCCCACCGATGGACCTGGACAGGTATAATCTGGCGACTGATGAATTGTGGTGCATGCTCCGATTCATATTGATTACCTTACGGGTTTTGATGTCGAGATCTCGTAAATCTTTTCGGGCCCATTTCAGGACACCGAAAGAGTACAGTAAGACTGGAACAGCGAGCATATTGGTAGCGGAGACTTTATTTTTGCCGGAAAGATCTGACGACCAAATTTTCCGGAGTCTCCTGACATACTCGCTGCGGAGAGCTGCTCGGCCTTCAGAGACCGCATGCATGCGGTGCTCTTCCATTTCTAGATATCTATACAACTCTCCGGCGTCTAATTGTTTTAAGACGCTCCCATCTACTAACTCGACATCATCCTCTGTATCAGAGCACTTACCCCTCGCCAGATGTACAACCGCACACTTGTCCAACCCAAAAGACATTCCGACATCTTGTGTGTACTCTGCTACGATGTTAAGGGCCGCCTGTAGGTGATCTTCATTAGCACTATACAGCTTGAGATCATCCATGTAAAGCAGATGGGTGATCGAGTATTTTTGATCACCCGGGGGCCCCACAGAGTACTCACGCGTTTTACGGAGAGCAACAGATATAGGCAGCAGTGAAATGCAAAACAGCATAGGGCTCAAGGAATCGCCTTGGAAGACCTCTCGTTTGTACTCTACAACTCCGGTTATGTGCAATGCGTTTCCACTTCCTATGTGAAAACGCGTTCGCCAGAGCTCCATTGTACGGCGAATGCATTCCACTATTTCAGGATTGGCCCCTAGGCACTTGAGGAGATATAGGATCAACTCGTGTGGAGTTGAGTCAAATGCCTTGCGATAGTCGATCTAGGCCATTGAAAGGTTGCGTTGATAGTAGATTGCATCTTGTATGACACATCGATCAACTATCAAGTTCTCCTTGTAACCTGACAGGCCTCTTTTGCTGCCGCGCTGTTCATATATCTGTTGCCATACAGGTTTTATCTCCTGCAAAATACGGTTGTTTTAAATTTTTGTAAAAATTTTATAAACCACATTCAAGCAGGTGATAGGCCTGTAATTTTTTGGGTCAGACAAGTCACCTTTTTTTAGGTATCAGTACGGTTCGCCCTTTCACGAGCCAGTCTGGAATCGGTTCGTCAGCTCTGATGTACGATGTAAATATGCGGGCCAGATGAAGGTGGATAGAAGTGAACTTCTTCCACTAGAAGACATTAATGCCATCTGGTCCCGGGGCAGCCCAATTTTTGCTGCCATTTAGAGCTGAACGAACTTCGTCCACACTGACTGCAGGGCTCTCTTCATGAGCATTCTGTCTACGGTGTTCCTGACAGAATGCTTTGAAGTCATGCAGAGCTGGAGTATTGGCGTTCACGTTTGGTTGATCTCCATACAACTCAGTCCAAAAAGCTTCCACCCGCTCAGGTGTTGGATAGTTCCCGGACATCAGCTTTATCTTGATCAGAGAATACCAGACCATTTGGGCCATGTAGAGTAGTCGCGGGAATGTTTTGTTTGGCAGCTAAAGATTTAGCTGTTTTCCATAACGGATTATCAGAGATTTTGAGATTTTCTAATTTTTTATCCCAACGTTTATTATTGTATTCGATAATATCTGATTTAATTTGGCGTGATAGTTCGTTTCGTTTGATTCGATAGTTTTCGTTTTTTGTTCTTTGATATAGTCGTCTAAGTTTATTGCGTTCTTTTATATTGTTTGTGATTTCAATGGGTAGAGTGTCGGTAAGAAGATTAGTTTTAATTTTAGGAATAGATTCTTCAGTAGCTTTTTGTATTATCTGTGTCAGATTTTTTACACTATTTTCTATATCTGTAGTTGTTGTTAATCTTGAATCTAGTATTAATTCTGCCTGTTCCACCGCTCGACTGACTCTTTTAGGCCCCAAGCTCCCCACTCCGAGAATTACGACAAGCGACCGCGCCGCCTAGTGCCTGGAAATGAAACTGACGAAGGCCGGTACGCAAGGCTCCTGCACGAGCACGAGTATATCAATTTGCACTGTTACAAAATAGTTGACTCAGATAAGTTCAAAAAAGTTAAGCATCAGTTCAATAGTGTAAAAGTTTATTTCTAGAAAAACTTCGAATTAACTCAACCAGTTAAGCTTCAAGACATTGCAGGTCGAATAAGCTATTTCGATTACGAATGACCAAATTTTAATTTCATATCTATTAGAACTTAACCGTCAACTACTGTTGGTTGTAAGCATCGCTGTTTGAATAATAATATTAAAATATTTTAAACAAGTGTAGACAAAAATTTTATAGCCTTCAATAAATTATTTAATTTCTTCTGAAAATCGTAGAGAAATTAACTTTTTCACATGATAATTTTATATTCAAAAAATTTAACAAAATATAATACATTGATTAAAATGCCTGAATAATGATTTGGCGCGAAGCTATTGTCGATCAAAGCAAAATAAAAGTCCTTTTTGACTTTGACAATTTAAATTATCATTGTACAGATAATGAACGTTGAGTTTTGAAGATCGTGAAACATTTTTTTTAAGAATTCATTGACTAATTATTAGTGCATTTATACTATAAATATTAGATAGCTCCACATTATAAGCATATAATTGATAATATATGACCTACTTAACATTTAAATTGAATGTAAGAATTCTCACTCATTATTATTATCGTTGTTATAGTTAGATATATCCGTTACTTTATCATAGTAAGTATTGGAGACATACTGCATGTTTTTTTTATTAGTTATTAACATTATTCATGGATTGTGACTTATGAATATGATCACAAGTTAATTGCGTTACGGGTATAGTTTAACATGCAATCAGTTATTTTTTTCGACATCAATGATAATCCAAAGTTAGCATTAACGTGTATATTAATTATTACCATGATTATGAAAATTCGCCATTTTTATTGTTTTGCTCTCAATTACATTAACTTTTTTAACTATTATTAAACCCTTAAGTAGCGCACTGGGTATGAGATAAGCCGGGATGAGTTTCATGTAATTAAATTACATTTTGTAAACGATGAAAGCAGGGAATTTTTATTATGCTGGGACGAAATTTGTTAATTAACACTACAGATTCTTCACTAGAATGATTGTCAAATGTAAAAGAGAAATTAGCTTTAGCTCAGTGTAATCAACACTGAAAAAAAATTGACTTGAATCAAGAGAAAAATTCTTGAACCAAAAAAATAATTTTGAAGAGTTTCACTGTCTTGAATCAAGACGAAAAATTTTTGAATCAAGTATAATTTACTCAAACCAAGAAAAATTTTTTATCTTAAGAATTTTTCTACTCAAATCAAAAAAATGAATTTCTTCAAAATTATTTACTTGATTCAAATGAATTTTTTTTTATGTGAGTCTATGAGTATACGCCACCCATCTAAAGAAATTTTTCGAAGAATTAAGTAATATAGTCGACTTTTTTTCACTGCCTACATTATCAAAATAGTGAAAGAACTTTTTTGAAACAGAAATAACAGATATTTAACGTTCGACCAATCGTAAAACGCTTATATCGCCAATGCTCAAATCTATATGAGGCATTCCACGCTAAATCAACCATTTTTGACTCTGACCCCTTTTGATTTGGCTGAAAGTTTACCATCCTTTTCTACCCTATCAAAAACGTCTCTCATAATTTTTTCAAATTTTTTTACCCTACCAAAAAAAAGTTCCGAATTTTTCAAAAAAACCGCTTTGTTATTTTTAAATTGCCATAACTTTTTCAAAAATTGGCTTATCGGGACGTTTTTTTTTTCAAAATTTTTGTTATTAAATGTTCTTTTTGGAAAAAAATATAAAAAAATTCTTTAAAGCTATCTTCATCGTTATTTTTAAAATTTTTAGAAAAAAATCCGAATTTTTTGATGAATACCATTTTTAGTTTCTTTTTTCTTTTTCTAAAACTTTGACATTTTTTACAGATATCATGAAATTTCCAGAAAGGTGTTTTTCCGATTTCTATTTTTTCTTTTCAATTAAAAAAAAAAAATTTTTTTCTATTGTCGTATTTTTCATAACACCGGTCCAAAAATTTACGGGAATCCTCAAAAAACAAGAAAAAAGTATAGAACCATCAGTTTAATATGTTAATCATCGAGAAAATCAATTTTTTTTAAAACAAAAGAAATTGAAAAACAACAAAAAATATAGAACTAAAAGTTAACCAGATTAGCTTCTCAGAATTGCTTTTAAAATTTTTAATCCTTGTGAAGGCTCAAATCTATTTTCAAATTACTCTAGAAGTCATCGAAAAATGATAGTTTGCGCCTCCAATGAATCCTCCTCATAAAAAAAAAATTAATTAAGTGCCATCATTAGAAACAATATTGTTAAAGAACATTTTTTTGCTTAGCTAAGGAAAATGTTTTTATTAGTTTAAGAATTATTGCATTTCAGACATTATAGTCATGTATTAAACCATTTGACAAAACCGGTTTAATTATAAAACTTAGAGTATCAGAGAATTGTTCATTTCAACGCCCACCATTCATTAAGCATTAAATAAAAAAAAACAATTGTTTTTCAATTTCTTCTTTGATTTAAAAAAAATTGATTTTATCGATGTTAAACATGTTCAACTTTTGGTTCTATACTTTTTTCTGGTTGGGTAAAAAAATTTGAAAAAATTATGAAAGACGTTTTTGATCGGGTAGAAAAGGATGGTAAACTTTCAGCCAAATCAAAAGGGGTCAGGGTCAAAAGTGGT